GATAACCTAGGGAGCGCAGGGGCCAGGAAACATGTAGAATACTGTTGGGACCAGAGAAAAAGCCTTGATATGCAGCCTATGTTTTCCTGACTGGGAACACTCTGTCCATCGCAGCTCTATACTTCTGCGGTTGAAACAATGCAGCAATAGAAGAGAGAAGGAAATTTCAGGTGATCACAAGTAATAGGAACTCTGTTTCAAAGTAGGCAGGTAACACAAGAAAGGTGAAGATGGATGAAGATAGAGACCAGAAAAGGCACATAAAGAATTAATACAAAACCTGCAATCAGTAAGAAGAGGTTTTAACAAATGCCGTCAAGAATTATGAGTGAACAAGCAGCAACATTACTACGTAGTAACAGGGGATGATAACACAAGAGATACAACATTAACCCTAAATATTCAAGCCCTGGATCCGTATGTACCACAGAGGCTGATTTTGATTTGGCTTGGGCTAACAAGATGCAGTGTCCAAAAAGGAGAGAATTGTGATGACAGATGGTTCACTGTCCTCCTCCTCTTATTCCCTGTGCTTTTGATTTGCACAGCACTATCTGGAGCTGAAGTCACTAATTGCAGTCAGTTAGATATCATGTATGCCCCAATGTAAGAGGAAGCAGGAAGACAGGTTTACTACACAGTATTTTAAATAATAACCATATTTCTAAGATTCTTATTTCTACCAGTTAGAAGGTAAAAAGCTTTTGTGACGTGATGCTCGTAGATATGCATATTCTTTGACCACTACCAAGAACGGCTTGTTTCGGAAGGGCAGGTGGAACTTTCATTGCTTTTGAAACACACAATATATTGAAAAGCACAAACATACCAAAGGGAAAAAAAAAGATACACAGCTGAACACAAGGGCAAGCTCTCTGCAAAAGCTATTTCATACACAGTGTCACACAGCAATCGAGGATTCTGCCAACTCTTGAAGTGACAATAAGCTACCACAGAGACAACACAATCTGCTCACAGATTCAATTCCCTTTCTCCTAAAGCCCAGTGCTGCTTTAGAAAACAAAGCTGCTGTGTAGAGAACTTAATCAAATGCTACTGGGCAGAAGATACTTGCTGTTCTTTTCCTCCTATTCCTACCAAGAAGGGAGCCTCCAGTGACCTAAGGCTGGCAAGTACCATTGGATCCTTAAGTTGTCACAGTGGGCAGATGAAGCCAAAAAGAAAATGATCATCAGAATTTTACTGTTGCTACTGAAAATGACAGTATTTCCCTTTTCTAAACAGAACAGGGAGAATTAGTCACAGCCTGTTCCTCCCATTTCTCTTTCAAGAAAAACCATTTTTAGTCTCTGATTCCATAGCTGTGGGGAGAGAGTTGAGCAAAGGGGAGGTTTATTATTATTTTGGTGCATCGCATGAAATGGCAGGCAGAAAACCACAGGAAATAGTATCCATTGCAATCTGAGGCTTAAACATATTTGATAGCATATTCAACAGCTTTGCTTGTCTCACAGCCCCAGGCAAAACCATGCCCCTTTCCCTGCTGTTCCTTCATTTCATGCAATAATGCTTCCAATTCTCCTTTTAAAAAGAATTATGTACCTTATCTACCTGTTGCACCGAATATCCTTCCTATGGCCACTCATAACCTTTGCAGATGTTGCTCCATCATTCTCAGTAAAAGCTTGAGTCATTTGGTTCAGGAAGGAAAGAGCATCTGGGAGAAGTGCCTCGATGATGAATTAAAACAAGAAGGCAAGTTATTCTTGCTGATTGCTATCTAAAAGGACACTATGGAGCTGGAATAAAATCTGAGGGAAACAACAATATGCAGAATGAATTTTGCTAGATCTTATTTTTTTTTTTTACTGTGCTGCTTAGCTTTGTCTTCACAGTTTCATTCAATTGATCAAATACAGTTCTATTTAGCCCATGTGCATCTCAGAATGTGTCCTCTTCACACGATCTTCTTGATGTTCCTCTACTGTTTCTGACTGATGAAGCTTCCAGCATCCCATCTTTTCTTCCCCATTCCTGCTAACCAGTCCTCTTTCCTATCCTTGTAGAAAAAAAGCACTTTCCTTGTTGTGAATGCTCCATCCCTGGCAGCGTTCAAGGCCAGGTTGGACAGAGCCTTGGGTGACATGGTTTAGTGTGAGGTGTCCCTGCCCGTGGCAGGGGGGTTGGAACTGGATGATCTTAAGGTCCTTTCCAACCCTAACTATTCTATGATTCTATGATTCCTTCCTTCTGCTAATGTCCTGAACAACCAGATTTTTTCTCATGCCGGGTCTTTACTGACAGTCCCCTTTATGATCCACTGTAGAATCCCAATGAATGGGAAAACACACAGAATTGCTTCAGGACAACCTCAGAACTTTACAACTTCAAAACTGGTCCTATTCCGGATTCCAAAGTATTAAGTTTACCTAAGCTGAATTACTCCTGTGTGATCCTGATGCTGGCTGAGTAACCCTATTCCCACAGAGCTGACACTTTCTGTTCATCCTTATCACTTTCCTAAGGTCAAAGACCAGGTCAGGATAGAATCCCTCACATTGCTTCCTTAACCAACCCCTCATATTCACTGAGTTCCAGCCCCACACTTCTCTCTGACCACTGCTTGAAATGTATTAAACAAACTACATGAAAATAACAGGATCCTGAAACAAGAACCCTTTGAGAAAAGGGATGCACATTTACTGAAGGATTTAAAATAAAAATTCTTTTCTCATACAATCAGCAAACGATGTAAAAACTCAACAGAATCCAACAACCAGCAAGGACACTGACAAGTTACTAAGCATTGCCATCCCAGTGGGATTGTGCAGGCTCATCCCTGAGTAACATAAAGCACTGCTCAAAAGTCCAACTTTGAATGATGAAGATTCATACCTCATGGCCTTTTCTGCACAAAGACGTGCTGTGTTAAATCCTGGGATGAAACATATTCCTCAAAATGAAACATGGAAAATTCCTGCTAAATGCCAAGTCTGAATCAGCCGTGATTCAAAAGGACAACTTGAGCAGAGCAGGTGCCAGGGATGTCTGTTCTCTGGATTGATTTACAAACTAAGATTCTTCTAAACTATTAGATGCTCCCTGTCTCATGTGAGCAGACAGCGAGTCGAGCTCAATGTATCTCATTGCCATCTGGAAACTCTACAGGCAAGGATATCTTCTCTATTGAGCTTTTGAATAGAATTAGTTTTCATCCAGCTGAAATCTTTGTTCTGAAGCTGTACAATCCCTGCTCTCCTCCTTCATAAGTCAAGTTTATGCCTTTTCCATGTGGTTTTGATATACTTGTAGAACTGGAGACCAAGGGAAAAACAGCCTAATGCCTCAAGGAAAAGACCCCCAAGATAAGAACTTACACACAGTATTATTCTCAGCATCACCAGGTACTGTGTTCTGCATTCTTACTCCTCTTAGCTATGACCTTTCATAAATGATATCAGGTGGCGTTTGCCTTATCCAATAGCCTGTACCATTGTTCAAGGCATGTCTGCACATACATAATATTAATTTCTCTAGCCTATTAATAAAAGCAGGAGAAAATAACAATTGCAAATTGGGTGCAGATTTATCCTGCTCTGTTTCTGCAGTCTATTTTCCTTTCTAAATTATATTTATGCATTTGAATTTCCAGTTTCTTTAAATATGAATATTCCTAATTATGTTGTTCCTATGATGGACACAATCCAAAAAACACCAATAAAAGTATGTCCTAATTTCAGTTTTGGTTATAAATTTTGTGGCTTGAGTCACAAGTGACTGAAGACTTAACATTCATACCCTGGTAAACCTGACTGCAAATGAAGTTATCTTTATTGTATTTTCTCCATAAAGAGAAGGTTTAGCTCAGCATATTGCTTGCAGAGATACACAAAGCACAACGGCTTGTTTTGGGCTGCTGCCATTCAGCTTCATGCTGCAACCCCATCTAGAGTCATTAATCTTTTACCACCAGAACACAATTAATCACGGTTGGTTGTTTTGTGGGTCTTTTTTTCTTTTCTTTTCAGGAGAAAAAGACAGAAATCATAGTAATTTTCACAGAAAAACATTGCCAGCAGTCTATCAATAACACTCATTTTTCTTCTCAGTACACACTAATAGGTTTGCTCACTGAAACGTGCTTGTCTTTCCGGTATACAAAATGCAGTAAACTAAAATACATATGACCAAGAGAAAAAACACAAGAAACCTCAGTCTGTCTTGTTGCACTGTGTAAGGCAATAAATGTCATTTTAGTGATAGCTGGGCCATAAATAAAATATGGATAGGCTTGAGAAAAAGGTGTTTATGTTACCTCAGAGCTTATTTTCAGGTGGAAACATTTTTTTCCATCTAGCTCACACAAGACAATATCTTTGCCTAAATTATGATGCAAGTTTTGATTCAAAACTTATTAAACCCCCCAAATCTTACCAACTTTGATGGCAGTTTTACTGGAATTAGCTCATGCTACTTGTGGATATAAAACCCCCAAACTTTAGCCCCAGCTTCCCTCGCATCCTAGGTCAGAAATGCCCTTTGACAGTGGTATAAAAATCTTACTTGTACTGTTTTCAGCCTTTTAGGTCTAAGAACTTACTTGAGCTCAGCTCTAATTAAGGTCAATAAGAGTTCTGCCTGAATACGAGAGACAATCCATCCACCTTCCTCCCCTTCAAAATATGACATTTGCCACATGGATTCACATACATCTTCGTTGTTTTCCTTAGACATTTTACAGCCTAGCAATTCTTTAAAATTAAATGTCACAAGCATTTCTTTCTTTTGTTTGTAAGAGACACAAGAAGTCAGCTACAGACTGCTCCCTTTTTTCTTTTTCCTTTTTTTTTTTTTTTCCTTTTTAATCCATAAGGTAATTGGCTTTCTGGAGAACTAACTCAATTTTCCAAATTTAATTTTCAAAGATGCTCCCTAATATCCATTATAGCAAACACTGTCCTGCAGATTCAATTAGTAAGCTCTCTGGACCTGCTTATTTCTGAATTGAAAGTGCACTACAGCCTGGATAAATGAATTACCTGAGCAGCGGAACTTCTTGCTCTTGATCTGGCTGATTCGCTTGTTGGCAAGGCGACGCGGATTGCTGCACCGAGCGCCGCTGGTCTCTATCGGATTATCCTGCAGGTAATCAGCCAGCCACTTCAAATGGCAGTCGCACACAAATGGATTCTGAGCTAAATGTCTGCAAGAAGGATGGGATGTTTAATCAGAAGTGACCTGTGACACTGTGCTCCATCATTGTTTTTCACACACGCGAACCTGAAGAGTAGAGTAATTGAATAAGCTTCCCCCAAAACCCCAGGCCTGGCGGAAACCACGCAGAGCTGCACATGAATGGGAGAATCCTGTCAGCTCTCACATTTCGGAGCTCATTAAGCCTGCTGCAAGTCCTTTCACAGGGGAAACAAAAATTAAGATAGCAAAACCTGCTTTAAAGGACACCAAGTCCTGTGTTTTCTCCTGACAGCCTGAAATGCTGCCTTTTGAGGGAAACGCACCTTTTCTGATGCACCTGACCTGACGATCATTTTGTATCCTGGCTTAAAAGAAATTTTATTGGCAAGCTCAGTTTCCTAGGGATCCAAATGTGATTAGTGAATCTTGGCTCTGGGCAAAGCCAGAAGAGATCCAGAAGTCTTTCCTCAAGAGTGAAATAGATATTTGCATATACTCATCCTGTGGAATAACATTCCCTTTATATGCATTTTTTCCTGGAGCAAAAATATTTTACTTTTGAGACTGCACTGTTTATGCAAGACAGAACTTAACTTTATCCTTTGCACAACGTATTCCCCACACAATCGGAAATAGGCATTGTAACATTGATTCTAACTGGATATTTAGACTTTGTTAATACAAGTCTCAGAGAGAAACAGCATTTCTCTGCTGCTGTTATGATTCGCTCTGCTTGACAAAGTTGAGCGCTGTATCAGGGGAGTTTGCCAGGTCTTTCCCAGAGCCTGATTCTGATCAGTTAAGCTGACTTGCAGCAGTCCCTCTAACTCCCAAGGAAGCAGGGCACAACTCTGCAAAGACAGTTTTAAATAAGACAGATGTTTCAATTTGGTTTGGACAGAGGTGTAAAGCTGTAGCCTCACAAGAGCTTTGCTCTATTACTGCCAGTGTGTTTTTTCCACCTGAAGCAACTTCTTTTTCCTGTTTGCAGTTATATTTATGAACTGTCACTTAACAGAGTTAAGTACAGAATACAACAGGATTTCAGGGAGTAGGAAGTGAAAGCATAGCAAAAAGCGCCTCAAGATACTAAAGATTACTGTTGTAGTAGAGCCTTTCCTGGTGTGAAAGGTCCAAAGAACAAATCAGCACATAGAGAGGGGATATGGGATTGGTCTGTAGCTCTAGAAAAAAGGCAGAAGATGGCAATCACTTGGAGTACTAGAAATGGGAGAACAAATCAGGAAATTTCATGAAAAAAGTGGCTTGCTGTGAAGCAACAAGTCCATCCTATGTACTGGCCACAGGAATGCCAATAAAACCCCATGGAAAAGGAGGAACTTTTAAACCTTAAGGGTGTTGCCTCATAAGATTGACAAATCATATACCTGTAAATGAACCTTCTCTGTCGCCCCTGTTAATGGATGCATCTCTGTACATACACAGCATGTTGCAGCAGCAGAAAGCATGGTAGAGGTGGGGAGCATAACTGGGGAGGAGTTGTACATGCTTTCAGAAATCAGGAACTATACAGCAGGATGCAGACCCAGTAAGGAGAGATGCCAACTCATTAGCCCATTAAAAACTGTTAGGCAATGGTTTTAAAAGAATTTGCTGCTCATATATTGTACAGGCTCAAATTTACATATTATCTTCCCTACAAACAGGATGAATGAATTACTCTGTGAGCTTAAAACACTTATGACATTCATGTCACTATTGGCAGGCTGCATCGATAGCTGGCTGTGCTGAATTTATGCAATACTTTGTTTTCTTGTGCCTTTTATTTCTGTCAGAAAAGGAGGGGCTGGTGTCTTTGGGGTCTCTTCCAATTGCCTTCACAGATTTTTGTTAAAAAGCCTTTGCAAAGACAGGCAACAGCTTTGGGAGTGAAAGAGAGGGCTGTCATTTATGCTACGCCTTCATACTCACAGAGTCTGGATCGATCGGAGAGGTGCAAAGAGACCCTTGCTGATGGTCTGCAGTTTGTTGTCATAAAGAGATAGCAGCTTGAGATTATGCAGACCTTGAAACGTGTTTACCCTCAGGCAGTTGATCTTATTGGCATTGAGAAGCCTGAAAACAGAGGAAGGGTTTATAATTCATTAATCTTGAAATAATCAAATGAAGATAAGACTGAACTGTGGAGTTAAATCTGAAAAAAATAACCCAGTCACCAAAGTCAACCCACATTTAAAGGTCTTCATTTGCCTGTTACATTTAAAAAGTGAAAACCCCACAGTCAACATCAGTATTCTCATAGTGGGGGAATACACATGTCACAGTGCTGGCTACCTTAAAATACTTAAAATATGTCTTTTTTTAAATGCCCAGGCCACCCCTCCCCATTTGTTCAAAATTCTATATAAATATTTGAAGGTGCCTTTAGCTGTGTATCTTCAGCTTGATATACACAAAAACTGCAAATACTCCCCACCCTGCAATTCCATGCACGCACTCATACACCAAGGCCACAGTGAGAAGAACCCTTTTTTATTCTGGTTTTCTCTACCAGCATCTGCCTTAAGTGAAATTGTGGAATTTTGTCCTCTTTTGATAAGCAGTGTGAGGATAATTTAATCATGGACAGAAAGAAAACCTGATTCTCCTCAGAGGCAAGAAGAGAGAAGTGTAGGGTCTGGACTAAAACTTACTGAAAGGCAAGGTCACTTCATAAGTAAGGGTAGGCAAGCCGTGCACCAAGTTGCTCAAAGGAGTTGTGCAGTCTTCATCATTGCTGCTGAATAAAGCCATGAGCAACCTTCTCTGACCTAGTAAGGAGGCTCTGGTTCTCCAGTCTCATTGCTAGTGGTCACCTGAGGTCCCTTTCAACCTCCGCTGTCCTACTAATCTATGAACCTACCCCATTCCAGTTACTCCAGATCCCTGTGGAGGTGTGGAAAAGCAGCACAAAGGCAATTTACATCCTTATTTTATTTTGCACCTCTAAACAGCAGCCCGTTGCCAGAACTAATCAGTTCAGCCAGAAAACCTTGGATGGTACTTGTGCAAGTTCTCTTAGATTGTTCAGCTAGAGTTCTGTCAGGTATAACAAGTAGATACTCTCAAGAAGCTGGAGCTCCCTCCAAGACACTCAATCACAAAGACACTTAAGGTTGTCACTGTTGTCTGCATATGCGGTATTTTACACTAAGAAGATAGTCAGGAAACGACCTGTTCTTCTCTCAAAAGCCAAAGCCCACATCTTTAACTACTATCAACCTGACAAAAATGGTACATTGCAAACATATGATGCTAACTCAGTTTTCTTGATCACAAAATTCTTGCTACTTAGTCAATGAGTTTGAAGAAGCTTAATATTACAACACTGTGGCACTCTATGAGGCACCATACTAATACTAAATCAGAAGACTAATGTCTTTCTGAGCAAAAAGGAAAAGATCTCCTCTATTCTTCAGCAAACAAATATACCATCTTAAACACATCTCTAACAGCACAGGGAGCTTCCAACAAACTGCAGATACACCACTACAGACAACAGGGCAACCCCTCAGGGAAGAAATGCATGCTAGTTAGCTGTTTTCCCTTTGCTCCAGAAGGTACTTCCTCTGCACAGCATCCTGCCTTTGCACTGCTGAAACCTTTGGACCATTGTACCCTCATTGCAGCTCCCTGCTCCTACTGCTGTTTTGGCAGAGCCCCGTTACTGCGGTAAATGGCTATGGCAATTGTGATACATAAAAGATGGAGTACTTGCGTAAAGCCCTTTACCCAAGGAGAAAAGGAATGCAGTGCTTTGGAATAAGAGGGCATCAGAGCCCAACTCACCTTCTAGCCTACGGAAAAGTCAATACCAATTTACCCAAATTTTCTTTATATGGTGTCAAAATCGAAGTTTGACCTTAGATAAGAGAAAGTCCCAAAGAAGGCAATGATGGATAAATGAAATTACCTCTTTTGCATGAACTAATAGCTAAAAATAAGCAGAGCTAGGACTGACCCCTCTGAAATCTGTATTTCGGTGACTGATAATTGCATGACACTTAATCCACCAGAAGTAAAAAGGTAATTTTCATATTAGGCTACAGGAACAGTTCCTCCTATGCATTTGACTTCTGAGATTCTGCTCCAACAGCAAACACCAATGTCATCTCTTGCTACTTGTTTCTTATTGCCATTCATACATCCAAGTCAAAGTAGTCTCATTCTCTCTCAGTTCTTGTGCATTATACATTGCTTTTTCAAGCTTGGACATTATTTATTCCATAAAAAACAGGTTAACACGTTATTAGAAGGCAGAATCAGCTACTTAGATTTATTTCCTGGCATGCACTCTGGTATTACAAACCCTTTGGTTTCTATCCCCTGCCCTTGTGCACTAGTCAAACATGGTCTTCTGGCATTGTAAATCAGCAGAGATTGGTTCCATGACAGACGCCTGGTACCTAGATTATATAGGAAGAAAACTGAAAGCAAGTATGTACTTCCATTTATTTTGGTGGATGCTAGTTTTTTCCCTAATATTACAGTAATATTTTATGCTGCAAGCAGTACTTGTGACAAAGCATAAAGCTGACATGAAAATAATCTCAGTCACAGAGAATTTATAACTGAACTACAGTTGTATTTGTATATGGGGACAACCAGTACGTCTTCCTGTGCTGCTTAAGAAGTGCTCACACAGCAGAGCTGCACTGTGCAGGTACTATTCACTTGCAGAGCTTGAAGTCTAACCATCATTGATCCCGCTCAATAAACCCTCGGATCAAAGCTGACCTAGAGCTGCACGGAATAAGCAGGACTCGAAGCCATTCTCTGATTAGTTTCAATAAAATATGAACAAAACCAATGCTGCAAATCAGAATTTACAGTGTGGCAAGTTTTCCTGGCATGAATGTTCAATGACTGAGTTCATGGTGTTATTATCTGTGGCAGTTCTGTAGGAGCCAAATACCAAATACGAAAGATGCTGATCCTGTAATAACCACAAGTACAGAGGCACACCCTCTACTTTAAGCATCAGAGAAAGCAACCTGGAACAGGAAAGTGCTTGTACAGGATGTTTACAAGTGGGAATTCAGATCCTACACAGTTTTCTGAGGTGACAACATCCATTCTGTATATCATCTATACACTATACATGCAGTCCCTAAATGTAGAGAGGACAGAGAGTGTGCTCAATAGTAATACAGATGTGGCCATACTGGATGGATCGTGACATAGATCAATGTCCCATTTCTGATCAGAATCTGCAAGAAAGGGGGGCAGGGCGCAGAGAGAGAAAGAAAGCAAAAAACTGTGAGAAAGCTGAATAAATAATCCCTAAAATATTTTTCCTCCTACTTCCTGGGAGTTAGAGGATGACTTTTGGCCAGAAGCATTAAGGTTCATGTTCCTTCCAAAAACTCTGTTATTTTAAAGTATCCCCTCTATGACTATTCCCCTATATAAATCCCAGTTCTTTGCTTAATCTTTCTTCACTATCATAGCCTCCCCAGTGGCATCTAATTATTAATAAGATACACAAGGCTGGCCTCACAGAGAGTTAAAAGTGGCTCTAAGAAAATGTTTTTAAACTAACACAAAGGCATATGAGAAAAACCTCCTTTAGGAAACAGAAACACTGACCTTCCTTAAACACTGAACCATGCTGTAAAATAGACAAAAGGTTCCTTTCCATTGGACTCTCACCAAAAGAAGAGACAGTATTAAAAATTGAGTCTTATTTTAGCAAGCATTAGATGGTATTTATTTTGCCCCAATTCATGGTGAAAGTAAATTCCACTGCTTTCCCTATTTTGTTATCAGCTTGATTGGCTGAGATTTACACACGGCCTCCAGATGTGGTGCAGCATTCAAAAGCAGGTTAAAAATTCAAGTCGAAATAAAACTGCCTGCTACCCAGAGGGATGATGGATTATGAACTCAAGTCTCCATTTCCATCCCTCTGGCTATGTTAAGAGCATAAAGAAATCTCTTTAAGCCTAGGACCACCACAGAACACAGGCAAATGGTTAAAGACCTTGTGGTTTACACGCCACTGAGAGCAATGAGCAGAGCAGTATTGCAATTCCATGAACCCATTTCCTGAAACAGTGCGTTTGTCCACACACACTGAAATAATAATGTGTTTCAGCTAAGCCCTTTGAATGAATGTGTGCTGAAATGGCACTGTAATTGTATCAGCTGCTCATAAGGACCATCTGCATAATTAAGATGGTCCCGTAATTGAATTATATGCCCAAACACAGTTTCAAGTGATTAACATTTAAATAACATTTTGAACTCCAAACCCAAAATGAATGAAAAAAATTGTTTTTTAAGAGAAAACGGGGATGTTTATAATGGCTTTTACCCTTAGCAATATTTGTATTTTCAGCTCAGTGAAGTCCAGTAATCAAACTATCAGCAAATAACTATATAACCGGGGGAATGAAACAGCAGCCTAGCAACCTTAACCCATGCTGGAGACTGCAGGTTAACTTCTGGTGCTACAGGATGGACCAGAAGTCACCCAAGGTACATAAACAAGCCTAAAAGGAAAGTATGAGGGAGAAAAGATGCACAGAGCCACTGGGAAACTTCTCTTTCCTTTTCAGGAGGTTTGTGCTTTGACAGCAATGACAGCATGAGGAGAATGAAAATGTTTGGCACCCCATGAACTGGCTGGCACATCCCACATGCCAGACTCCACTGCTGAAAATGAGAACTCACCAGAGAAAGGCAGATGTAAAATGCATAGGAGACTTGTATGGGAGAGGAGAACTGGGTAACAGTTTTGCATGGGTAACAGCAGAGTACAAATTGACTTTTATACAGTATCCCTAGCCAAAGGCTTTGCCTACATTCAAAGGCACTACAGGGCAGCAAAGAAAGCACCCTTGGCAGAGAACATTCTTTAGGATATACAGTACCTGTTATAAAATAAAAAATAAATTTTGCATGCTTTTTTTCAGCATTTTCTCTTGAAATTTCCAGGGAACCAAGAGTCACCTTTGATTTAACACAACTTACTGGGGAGAACAGCTGAAGCACCAATACGGAAGTACCTGATCAGGTACTGCCATCAAAGCAGTCAATGACAAGGAATGTCTAAGGACAGAGTTGTTTGTACC